TGCATAATATCCAATGTTCACTCACATACAGATCGGTATATAATATCCAATACACATCCATGCAGAAAGGCACTACATGTTCAACTTTGTTGCCACAACTTTGAGTTGAATTCCTCATAGGACAAAAAGGTCCAACTGGGAAATACATACATGTGGAAGATATGTACAGGATTCAGAATTGGACTGCTTCCAAAAAGAGGTAGTTAAGTATGCAATTAAAGAATTCATTTACCAAAAAAGTCACCCATTATGCAGCCCCGGCAATGGAAAATCCAAGCAGAACACAACATCTAAGGTCTAAGAAGATCTTTATGCATATGAAGCAAAAAGATGGCACATGCAAGAATGAGCCTTTTTTTCATTGCGGTGCTCGAAAACACAGAGTGAGCATGCTATGTGGCCTGAGGGGATTTTGGGAACTGCAATCCAAAAAGGACAAATCTTTCAAGCTTTCCAAGAGAAATCCCGCAAGATACCTCTCCCTGCTTCTCCGGCACTAGGAACACAGCAATAGCAAACTAAGTTACTCACCATCTGCTGCCCTTTCACAACATGCAAAATCTTCCGCCTGAGGCAAGCGCCTCATGACGAAGGCCAGCATGTTTTCCTAACAGCCTGGGACAGAAATAAGCTCCTCGAACTCTTCCCTATTGCGCCTACTGTTTACTGGGATAGACGGGGCTGGGCCAGCACTGAATCAACATAATGCATTTCGGGTTCATCTATGCTGTAGAGTTAATGCAGTTTGGCATCACTTGAACGGCTGTGACTCAAGGCAATGGCAACACTGGATTTGTAGTTTAGTGAGGCATGAGCACTCTTTGGCAGAACAAGACCTTGTGAAAATACAACTAACATAATTCCATAGCCATTTCAGTCATAACAAACCAGTAATTCTACAGCACAGATGCATCTGAAATGCATCATGTCCATTCTGTGCTGGTCCAGATGTGTCCATCCCAGAAGAATTGGGAAGTAAACATAGACTTCCCCAACCTGGATCTGTTGGGAGTTCAGGACATATTTGGAGGACATTGGGTTGAAGAAAACTGTGTGGTCTTGTGTATGCACTGGTAACACCCTCCAATCCTTATAGGTCTGTGAACTAGGTATAGAATCATTGAATCAAAGAGTTGGAAGACCTCATGGGCCATCCAGTCCAACCCCCTGCCAAGAAGCAGGAATATTGCATTCAAATCACCCCTGACAGATGGCAGCCTCTGTTTAAAAGCTTCCAAAGAAGGAGCCTCCACCACACTCCGGGGCAGAGAGTTCCACTGCTGAACGGCTCTCACAGTCAGGAAGTTCTTCCTCATGTTCAGATGGAATCTCCTCTCTTGTAGTTTGAAGCCATTGTTCCATGCGTCCTAGTCTCCAGGGAAGCAGAAAACAAGCTTGCTCCCTCCTCCCTGTGGCTTCCTCTCACATATTTATCCATGCTATCATATCTCCTTTCAGCCTTCTCTTCTTCAGGCTAAACATGTCCAGCTCCTTAAGCCGCTCCTCATAGGGCTTGTTCTCCAGACCCTTGATCATTTTAGTCGCCCTCCTCTGGACACATTCCAGCTTGTCAATATCAAAGTCATAAACTCTGGACTATTCTGTCTGGACATAATTTTTACACTCCCTTGTTGGCACACATCTTTCCATGCTATTGCATTCAGAAGAGGGTTTACTCTGAATCCAGTTCTCCTCAGTGAGGAAAGTACATTAATAAATCTTATTTATTTATGTATTTCTTTATGACATTGATATGCTGCCCTTCTCACCCCGAAGGGGACTCAGAGCGGCTTACAAGATATATACATACATACATATATATATATACACACAATATATATTATTATTAGCATAGTACAATATCAGTATTATATATTACTATATTGTACTATACCATTATATTGTAATATTATTACTAATATTACATATAATATAAATATATAATTTTAATATCATATTATTATCATTAGTATTATATTGTATTACTCGAGTATAAGCCTAGTTTTTCAGCTCTTTTTTTAGGCTGAAAAAGTCCCCCTAGGCTTATACTCGAGTCAAGGTTATTTATTATTTTACTCTGTTATTATTATTATTTGTAATACATTTATAATTTTACTCTATTAGTATGATTACATTTATTATTTTACTTTATTATTGTTAGTACATTTATTATTTTACTCTGTTATAACTTATTACTACATTTCCATTATTTTAATCAATAGTAATAATAATAAATGTAATAATTTATTAATAAAAATAAATTATTTTATTAATATATTATTTTAATAATTTATTAATAATTTATTTTTATTAATAAATTATTACATTTATTATCTTGTTCTCTTTATTATTATTGCAAGGATACCTAAGCAAATTTACATTGAAGAAGATGAAAATAATGGTTTCATCAGAGTTGGACAGTTATCTTAAATTACAATTTTATGTAAATATTCAAAAACATTGGACCTACTGATACCTCAATTAATGTAATTTTATTGGTATCTATTTTCATTTTGAAACTGACCAGTACCTGCTGCATTTCCTACCCTCGGCTTATACTGGAGTCAATATGTTTTCCCAGTTTTTGGGGAGTACAACTATCAGTTGCTGTTGTTCATTCGTTCAGTCGTCTCCGACTCTTCGTGACCTCATGGACCAGCCCATGCCAGAGCTCCCTGTCGGCCGTTACCACCCCCAGCTCCCTCAAGGTCAGTCCAGTCACTTCAAGGATGCCATCCATCCATCTTGCCCTTGGTCGGCCCCTCTTCCTTTTGCCTTCCACTTTCCCCAGCATAATTGTAAAATTAGATACCTCGGCTTATATTCGGGTCGGCTTATACTTGAGTATATACAGTATATTATAATTAATATATGTATATACAATATATTATATCATATTATATTACATTATATTATATTATTAGCATAGCACAGGAGACAAGGTGGAGCTGTCCCCTGCCCCCCTCCCCTTTCACTCTGGCCAAAATACCCTAAAGGCATCAGATCCCAATGGGAGACTCCAACAAATCTTGGGTGCCATAGGCTATATTTCAGAGGAAGGAATTGGCAAAACTACTTTGAATTTTCCTTGCCTCAGAAAACCCTTCGAAATTCATGGACTCGCCCTAAGTCGACAAACAACTTGAAGGCGCATATGTTCAAAAAGGGCAGATCTGTTTGTTATCCATGCTGCAACTCTCAGAATGGCATCAAACCAATGGGAATGGTTTGAGATCCATCAGAAATGTTCCATAGTTGCCTTGTTCCTCAAGGATGCACAGTTACACATTGCACCCTATGGTCTTGGGACTCTATTTTCAAAAATCCGAGCAGCTCAGCAATTCATGGAGAGTTCTAGTAATATCATAATAATATCACCATAATATCATTGTGGTGTCCAATTCTGGGCACCACAATTCAAGAGAGATATTGACAAGCTGGAATGTGTCCAGAGGAGGGCGACTAAAATGATCAAGGGTCTGGAGAACAAGCCCTATGAGAAGCGGCTTAAGGAGCTGGGCATGTTTAGCCTGAAGAAGAGAAGGCTGAGAGGAGATATGATAGCCATGTATAAATATGTGAGAGGAAGCCACAGGGAGGAGGGAGCAAGCTTGTATTCTGCTTCCCTGGAGACTAGGACACGGAACAATGGCTTCAAACTACAAGAGAGGAGATTCCATCTGAACATGAGGAAGAACTTCCTGACTGTGAGAGCCGTTCAGCAGTGGAACTCTCTGCCCCGGAGTGTGGTGGAGGCTCCTTCTTTGGAAGCTTTTAACCAGAGGCTGGATGGCCATCTGTCAGGGGTGATTTGAATGCAATATTCCTGCTTCTTGGCAGGGGGTTGGACTGGATTGCCCATGAGGTCTCTTCCAACTCTTTGATTCTATGATTCTATGATTCTATGTAGTAGTGGAATTCTGGGATGTATAAATTGATTGGAAACACAGCATTGTGTCCAGGCCATGTACAGAAGGACAAAACATGTGCTCCACACAAGTTCTTGAGGTTCTACAAGGAGGGACCACTGCTACCTTCCATATGTCCCAGCAGGCAAAAACTGCATCTATTTTCCACTTCTGCAAATGCAAATATTTTCAGAGGTCAAACCTTCTTTTTTGTTAAATCTAACCACCCTTTTTGATGGAATGAAGGGGCTCCACACAGACACAACTCACAGCTGTGTAAGACACACAGAGTTCCATTGGACATGTGTCCCTATAAGTCTTCTGTTGACTTATAAGGATAAAAAATAATATTAAAATGTATGCCTGTCAATGTATGACAACTCCATGGATATAATAAGGCTTTCCTAGGCAGGAGCAGTGATAAATGCACCCCCATTTCACTAGCATCCTGACTTGAATCCACGGACTTGATGTGGATCTCTGAGCTATCTGAGAAGAAGTCAATTTATTTATTTACTATATTTATACCCCGTCCTTCTCACCCCAAAAGGATGTCTCACAACAAAGGCACAATTCAATGCATTGGGTACATATAAAAACAAAGCAAAATGAGCTTTAAAATCACATAATTAAACATATCACTTAAAACAATTACTTAAAATCACGTAGTCCAAAAGCATATACCAGGAGCCATTCCAGTAGTCATTTGCATTGTTCATTATCGCACTAAGAAATAATTAGGTTCTTGTGGGGTTTTTCAGGCTATATGGCCATGTTCAAGAGGCATTTTTCCTGATGTTTCGCCTGCATCTATGGCAAGCATCCTCACTACCTCTGAGGATGCTTGCCATAGATGCAGGTGAAACGTCAGGAAAAATGCCTCTAGAACATGGCCATATAGCCCGAAAAACCCCACAAGAACCTAGTGATTCCAGCCATGAAAGCCTTCAACAATAAGAAATAATTGTTGCACTGGGAATCATTGTGCAAATGCTTGGTCTCACAACCAGGACAAGTCAAGAGTAACCCCAAGCCTGTGCAGAGTGCCTGTTCCTTTAATACTATGGGACTCCATGCCCAGCCACCACCTACCTGGGCAACAGGTGAGGGCTGCCATTTCAGACATCTTGGTTAGATGCCCCACAGATATTTCCCATTCTTTTCCACTGGTGCCTTGGGAACTCCTGATCTCTTCTTTGTCTACTGCAGAAAGCCTTCTTCTCGACCTCATGGATTACAGCACTGTCCCCTCCCTCCCCATCCAGCACACTGTTGGGAGGGAAGTATGGGAAGTGTCATCCAGAAAGCGGAAGGTACCGGCTGCAAAATGCCCTAAAGGCATCTTAATACCAGAAAAACACCTTCCTGCCTTCTCTTTGACCCAGTCCAGCTCAGTGCACAAGTCAACACAAGGGGAGCATCTACACGGTAGAATGAATGCAGTTGTAGTTCGGTGAGGCACCAGTAGTTATTGGCAGAGAAAGCTAAAGGCCTTGTAAACCTAAAATTCCCAAGATTTCATAGCTTTGAGCCACTACAGTTAAAATGCTATCAAATTACATTAATGTGCCCAAGGACAGGGCCACCTCTTTGGAGTCCCCATGTCTCAGAAGACAAAGACATCTCTGCCTCCTGACAAGCCTTGCCAACTGGATTCCACTACTATCCATCCACCTGAGAAGTCAAGGAGGTGGTATGATAGCCTGATCTGGAATAATACTGTGTCTTGTTTTAGGCACCACAATTCAAGGATATGGACAAAGGAGAAAGTATATCTTGCTAATGTATTCTGGCACTGAATGTTTGCCATTTTTATTGAGTTCCTTTGGAGAGATAGGGCGATATACAAAATTATTATTATTATTATTATTATTATTATTATTATTATTATTATCAAGAGGCAGGCAATCAAAAATGGTAAATATGAATCCTTACTAGGAGCAGCTTATGATATTTTTACAGAATCCTAGAGTTGGGAGAGTGTGACGGTGTCATCCAGTCCAATCTTGGCATGTGCTAATACACAATCCAAGTCACCCACTCCCTGCCACAGATGGCCATCCAGCCTCTGTGAAGCTCAGCTATGAGAAGCTGTGAGATATGATAGCCAGGCTTAAACATCCAAAGGGATGTCACATTGTTTTCTGCTGCTCCAAGGAGCCAGGGATTCCAACTTCAGAAGAAGAGATTTGACTTAAACAAGGACTTCTTGAAAGTACGAGCTGTTCAACGATGCCTTGGAGTATAGCAGAGTCTCTTTATTGGAGGCTTCTAAACAAAGGCTGGACAGCCATCTGTGGTGAGAACTTGGATTGCATGGCAAACGTAAGTTGTGCTGGATGGCCTTCTACTAGAAACTCAAGGCATCTCTCTTGCTCTTTCCCTGACAGTCACAGCCCTGTTCTCGTGTAGGTGCCCTTCCTTCATTCTCCTACATTCCAGAATTGCATGGATGAAGGGGTTGGACTAGATGGCCTTTGGAGTCCCCTTCCAAGAATAGGCTTCCATGAGGAACTCGAGAAATCACTGTCCTTGCCACAGAATGTATCTTCTCCCAGCTTTCTTCCACTCTAGCCTTCCAGGCTTGCTGGACAAAATGGGGTTGGGCTGCAGGTCCTTTGGGAGTCCCTAACAACTCTTTGTGACAGCCTCATTCTCAATACACGCTCCATCTCGTCCTCCTTCTCCCCTTCCCTTCCATCTCTTTGGGCTTCCTACAATTCATGCTGGGCTCTACCTCCTTCTTTTACCTTCCAGGATTGCGGGGCAGAATAAGGTCTGACTGGATGACCTTTGGGGATCCCTTCCCTGGAATACTGTGTCCAGTTCTGGGCACCGCAATTGAAGGGAGATGTTGACAAGCTGGAATGTGTCCAGATGAGGGTGCTTCAAATGATCAAGGGTCTGGAGAACAAGCCCTATGAGGAGTGGCTCAAAGAGCTGAGCATGTTTAGCCTGCAGAAGAGAATACTGAGAGCGGACATGATGAGGGCCATGTATAAATATGTGAAGGGAAGTCAAGGGAGGAGGGAGCAAGCTTGTTCTCTGCTGCCCTGGAGACTAGGATGCAGAACCATGGCTTCAAACTAGAGAAAAGGAGATTCAACATGAGTAAGAACTTCCTGACTGTGAGAGCTGTTCAGCAATGAAACTCTCTGCTCCGGAGTGCAGTGGAGGCTCCTTCTTTGGAGGCTTTTAAACAGAGGCTAGATGGCCATCTGTCAGGGGTGGTTTGAATGTGATTTTCCTGCTTCTTGGCAAATAGGATGGCCCATGACGTCTCTTCCAACTCTAGGATTCTATGATTCTTTGAGGCAGCCCTATTCTCAATGCAGGCTCCATCTCGCCCCCCTTTTCCTCTTCCCTTCCATCCCTTTCATGCGGGGTTCTCTATCTCCTTCTCCTCTTGCCTTCCAAGATTGTGGGGGCAGAATGAGGTCTGACTGGATGACTTTTAGGGATCCCTTCCAATCCTAGGTTTCCATGAGAAGCTCAAGGTACCCCTTTCCTTGACACATCCCCTTTCTCACTACCTGCTCCCCTCCTTCTTCTCCTGTTTGCTTTCTAGGCTTTCCTTGCAGATTAGGATCAAGTTGGATGACCTTTGGGAGCCCCTTTCAAACTCCCAGAAGTCCAAGGCAGAGGCACAGCAACCAGAGACATCTCTGTCTCTGTCACAGCCCCGTCTGCAGGTACCTCCTGATCCCTTCCTCTTTCTCCTCTCACCTTCTAGGCTTGTGCGCAGAATGGGGACAGGCTGGATGACTTTTGGGAGCCCCCTTCCAACACTATTCATGCCGGGCTCTATCTCTCCTTCTCCTCTTACCTTCCAGGATTGTGGGACAGAATGAGGTCCAGCTAGATGACTTTTGGGGATCCCTTCCATTCCTAGGTTTCCATGAGAAGCCCAAGGCACCCCTTTTCTTAACACAGCCCTGTTCTCACTATCTGCTCCTTTCCTTTTTCTCCTGTTTGCTTTCCAGGCTTTCTTTGCAGAATGGTATTGGGCTGGATGACCTTTGGGAGCCCACTTCCAACTCTGGGCTTGTCCCAGAAGCCCAAGGCTGAGGCACAGCACCAAAGACATCTCTGTCTCTGTTCCAACCCTGTCCGCAGGAATCTCCAGATCCCCTCGTCTTTCTCCTCTCACCTTTTAGGCTTGTGTAACAGAAGGGTTTGGACTGGATGACCTTTGGGAGTCCCCTTTCAACTCCCAGAAGTCCAAAGCAGAGGCACAACAACCAGAGACGTCTCTGTCCCAGCCTCATAGGCAGGTATTTCCTGATCCCCTCCTCTTTCTCCTCTCACCTTCTAGGCTTGTGTAGAAGAAGGCTTTCGACTGGATGACCTTTGGGAGCCCGCTTTCAACTCCCAGAAGTCCAAGGCAGAGGCACAGCAAACCTAGACATCTCTGTCTCTGTCCCAGCCCCATCTGCAGGTATCTCTTTATCCTTTCCTCTTTCTCCTCTCACCGACCCCATTCTGTGTGGCAAAATGGGGTCGGGCTGGATGACCTTTGGGAGCCCCCTTCCAACTTTAGGCTTATCCCACAAGTCCAAGGCAGAGGCACAAAAACCAGAGACATCTCAGCCTGTGTCCCAGCCCCGTCTGCAGGTATCTCCTGATCCCTTCCTCTTTCTCCTCTCACCTTCTAGGCTTGTGCAGAAGAGGGGTTTGGACTGGATGACCTTTGGGAGCCCCTTCCAACTCTAGGCTTGCATGAGAAACCCAAGGCATGGCTTTCCTCCTTCTCACGTACACCCCTCCGCCTCTGGGTGCTTTCCCCCTTACCTTCCATCTCCTTGGGCTCTCCGCAATTCATGCTGGGCGCCCGCTCATCCGCGGTCGGGATCCAGAGGGGTTTGGGGGTCGATCCTGGATCGGGATCCAGCAAACATCCAGCGGGGATGGGAGAGGGGGCTCCCAGGAGGAGGAGGAAGAGAAGGAAGGGGCAAGAGGAGGAGGAAGGCCGAGGGAAAGCGCCCTCCCGCTCAAAGCCGCCCTTCTTGGCCGCCGCAGCCCCGCAAGGTCATCGCGCCGCAAGAGTCCATGCCTCGCCTGTGTCCCGAGTCGGATCCGGATGAAGAGAGGGCCGGAGGAGGGAGACACCCCTTGGGAAGGGCCTCAATGAGGAGCCGCGCCTTGCCTTTCCCTCCCAGGCTGGAGCCAAGCAGCCGCCGAAGCAGGGACCCAGTCCTGAATGCCTGCCTGCCTGCCTGCCTGCGGAGCCGCCTCCTTCGTCTCCTTCTTCTCCTCCTTCCTCCCGCCTTCGGGGGCTTCACACGTGCTCCCCTGACACGCAGGTCCACGCCCAGCTCCGCCCCGCCCCTGCTCTCCTCCTGGTCGGGCTGGTTTTGCGGCTCCTCCGAAACGAGAGCCCGTTTTCCTCCGCTCGTGGGGTGCGCCCGGCCCTACCGCCTGGGTTTCAGGCTGCGCCTATTGTGTGCGCCTTTGGGAGGGAAGCTCCTCTCGCCACTCATGGCTGGTACTACTATTACTACTATGTGTATTTATTTACACCCCGCTGTTAGCTCTTGGCTGAGGCACATAGCGGCTCACACACAGCCTGGAAAGACAAACGCCATGCAATCAGAGGCGGCCCTAGGTAATTTTCAATGGTAAGCAAACAGTATTTTGCCCCCCCCCCAACCAATCATTGATATATATTTTCTGTTCGTTGTGGGAGTTCTGTGTGCCATATTTGGTTCAATTCCATCATTGGTGGAGTTCAGAATGCTCTTTGATTGTAGGTGAACTATACATCCCAGTACTACACTTGCCGCACTTGCTCCCTTGTCGAGGGGCATTTACAGAGGTGCCTCTGCCCCCCTGGCAAAAAAAAGTGTTTTGCGACCACTTACTTCGCGTAATGGACGAGCCGCCCCTGCATGCAACTGAATGTCGAACACATACATATTAGAATTACATGCACAGGATGGGCTGAAAAGTCACAAAGGCATCTGACATTTTAATGTAATGGGATGTAATTTGATTTTCTTTATATACCGCATATACTCCTCTGCGAGTGCAGCATATTTCCAAATGAAGCAGAGAGTGTATTGTCCAAGGCTTTCATGGCTGGAATCACTCAGTTCTTGTGGGTTTTTTCGGGCTATATGGCCATGTTCTAGAGGCATTTCTCCTGACGTTTCGCCTGCATCTATGGCAAGCATCCTCAGAGGTGAGGTTTGCTGGCACTGGGAAAAAAGGGGTTTATATATCTGTGGAATGACCAGGGTGAGACAAAGGG